TTATCCCCCAGAATCTCTATTGCATCCATGCCATGCCACACCATTCTGTAAGCAGTAAAACCTCACAAGGCCTAGATCAGGGGACATGTTCATCATACAAGTATAATCAGTGTTACATTGGAATCTACTGATGCTTATTGACTTGAATGAATTATCCTCCAAAGAAACAGTCAATTGGAAATAAATGTCATAGCAACCAATCTTCAGGAAAAGTTTCTGAACTCAAAACTCCTGCATCATAATCTTAGTGAGGCATGATGTTACCTAATATGAAGGTTTCTTTATGAATCTAAAAATGAGTACTTCTTCATCTACTTCACACTGAGTCAATGTCCTACTGGATAAACAAACATGCTGAACGCGTCTGAAATTTCAGACTGTACTGGGAAACTAGTGAAAATGTAGAAACCAATGAGACTGCAAGAGATAGTTGATGAGCATATAAAAATTATAAATTGAACATAAATTCAGTGCTGCACTAGAATAAAAGAGGAAATGGGATCTCACAGTTTATTTTCTACTATAGTGGACTTTGCTGGCTGCCACAGGGCAATCTGTTTATAATAAGATTCAACCTACACAAGATGAAAAGGCCGTCTTTGCCAAATGTGAGAAGTCAGCAGTGCTCATTTTCAAACAGTTTTTTCAAGCTTCAAAACAGAATGGATGAGAATTATATTAAGATCTGATCACTATTTTCCTAGGTTTGTTTTTGGCAATAGGTTCTGACACCAGAACAAGGACCATGGGGCTTCTTCCACTGAAGGAACTCATTGATAAAAGTATTGAAACACAGATAAAAGTAATGAAGAAAATATCACTCTTCCAGGCTGTGAAAAGTCTTCCGCACTGGAATGTTATAAACTCTAGTCTCCAGTTTACAATGCAAATTTGAAAATTGTGAGATGTTTTGCCAGGCCATAAGCTGGAAATCTGTGTATGTACATACTTTTACTTGTTGCTAAGTATTCTCTCTCTGTGCCTGCTACCACACAGTCTGAGGCAGAAGAAGTCATATCCTAAGGGCTGGCAGACAGTGAGGCAGCTGCTTGATGTCTTTCTCAAGATGGTTCTATTTTCAGCAGGCTTCAGTTTCTTCTTCATGGGAAATGTCAGCACTGCAATACCTTGCCCACCCCACATTGCTGAGCAGAATATTCTGTATCCAGGGTCTGGACTCACTATCCCTCTCCTGTTTCTGGGTGTGCTGTGCTTAGCTCTCAGCTGCAGCAGAGTCCAGCCCTGCAGTGACAGTAGCAGAACTGGGAGACAGTGGTGGGCAGGATCTATTTAATTTTTCTTTTGGCATTAAGGCATTGCTGCAGCTTTCAGTACACCCTTTCCTAAGGACTAGCAGCCAAATAGTTGCTATGTGCCTCACTCTTGCCTGTTGCAAGGCTGGGTCCACATCCTGCACAGCACAACAGAAAAAAAAAAAGCCAAAAGTGCTCTGCTGAGTAGACTGGCTTTGTCATTTTACTTGAAAAGTAAAGATTTGCAGTTCCAAATGTGAGGGGAGAGAACCCTCAGCTGTCACCCTAAGAGAGGCATCAGACATCCCTCACTCTTCTTTCATTGTCTCAAGTAAGAGTTCCTACATACTTTCTCTGTCTGAACTCTATAAATCATAAACTTAATCTTTTTGCTCAAAGCAAAACACTTCCTTATTTTTACAGACATGAGGATGCTGTGATTTTTAGCTGTTAAAATCAGAAGGCACATATGGTACATGTAAAAACCACAGTAATTTGCAACTAGTTTTTCATTATTAGAGATGTGCAGATTGTCTTTTATATCTCATCTTCCAGTGAAACTTAATTTAATATCTTTTAAATATAATATATGTTTATATTTCTCATTATAATATCTTTATATCCATCAGTATGTATCTGAAGATTCTGGAAATCACCTCAAGTGCACTATACATGAGCTGTATTTCAAGAGTTGGTACATTGTCCATGAGGGAATGTGAGCTACAATAGGTTTTTGCCTTTCTATTTTCAGTAAAATTACCTTGGATTTAGTTAAAATGGGTTGCAGGTTTTTGCCAGATGGCACAGAAAATCCTTAGCAACTTTAACAAAGAAATCAGTTTTGAGAAATACTTTTTTTTTTTTTTTCTTTCAGACAGGAGAAAAACTATGAGTTCAAAATGTGAAAATGAAATATTTCCCTTAGTATACATGAAACTGATTGTCTGACCTCTGGCCTCTCTTGCTTTTTGATGGGATAATTTCATGCATTTTACCATTTGATATGTAGGGTTTTGACGAGGAGACAAAGTCTCTCTAGTTTCATAGGCTCTACAGTTGGCTCTGTCATATATAGACTCCTCCTAATGGCAGTACAGACCATGGCCCTTGGAATATGAGCTTTCTTATATCATGACTAAGAAGTCATTTTAATGAATTTTTAAAGTGAAAATTATTAAAATAAGTAATTTGGTTTATAAATTTAGTTAAAATATCCAAGGAAAGTTTTCTTACTGATAACCATGTTCAGAAAAATACCAACATTGACTTTTGTAGCTTTTCTGTATTCAATGTTTGTTGTGACACTAGATTAAAAGGTTTACAATCAAGAATTTTTGTCATTAATGGCATTTTACACCCACACCCACCCCAAACTCCAGTCGTTGTCCAATGATCAATTCTTTCTTTGTTTTGCTTGTGTTTCAGTTGCTGACAAGGCAGCATACCTGATGGGTCTGTACTCAGCAGACCTGCTTTGACCCTATGCTCTCCTTGAGTCAAAGCTGGGAATGAATTTATGACCAAACCTGTGGATTGCCTTAAGGGAGTTAGGGCAAACTCCTCTAACAAGGGCTTGTGGTTGATAGCCCAGATGAAGTGCTTCTCTCTCAGAGCAGCACTGTGGCAAACAGACAGAAGGAGCTGGTAGTTACAGCCCAGACAGGCACTATAGCCTGATTGCTACCATAGAAACTTGTTGGGATGGACTGCGTGATTGACATGTGCTGTGACTGACAGCTATAAAATATTTGGAAGGAATAGTAAAGGAACGAGAGATGTGGGAGTTCCCCTGATGAGATGCATCCCTGGATCCTGAGGGAACTGGCAGATGAAGTGGCTAAGCCACTATCCATCACACATGCCAAGTCATGGCTGTCTGATGAAGTTCCACTCACTGAAAAACCCCTATTTTTAAAAAGGGGCAAAAGAAAGATCCAGGAAACTACAGGCTGGTCAGCTTCACCTCTCTGCATGGCAAGATCACGGAGCAGATCCTTCTGGAAAATATGCTATGGTACATTGGCTGGATGATCAAACACAAAGAGTTGTCAATTTCAGCTGTGGCTTGAATTTCAGGTGGAGACCAGTAACAAGTTGTGTCCCTGGTGAGTTGTTTTGAATCCAGCATTATTTAACACATTTGTCAAGAACATGGACAGTGGGATTCAGGGCACTGTCAGCAAGTTTGGAGGACTTGCTGAACAAGGACACCAAGCCATCTGTTACAGTCAACATACTGGACAGAAGATAGATTCTGGTTGGATATCAGAGTGACACTTTTTAAGAAGAGGCCAGTGAGACTCAGGCCCCAGAATAAGGGAATGTCCCTGGAATTGTTGGAAGTGTGCAAGCTGAGATTGAGTGGGGCTTTGAGCAACCTGATCTAGTCAAAGATATTCCTGCCCACAGCAGTGGTGTTGTACTAGATGATTCTTTTAAGGCTCCTTCCAGCCCAAACCATTCTGTGATTTGTCCTCTAAGTTCTGTGCCTGAGGAAGTCAGAGACTGCGCAGACTCAGGACTTCTGATGCCCCCCTGCAGTCACTGTTTTACACAAGTTGTTTCTGAACTCCTCCTGTTCAGGGCAGAGGGTGTTTCCACCAGCGTCCCCCTACCCTGCACAGGGAGCCCAGGGCTGAGCTCTGATTTAGAACTCCAGAAAGTTGCATGCTCCTCCTTGGAACAAGGTTTCCATGCCTGCACCAGTGCTTGATGTTGGATATCTCCTTGGATCACATTTACTGACCTTGCCCCTCTGCTCTTCACTGGGCTTTACCCACTGAACTCTTTTCACAATCAAAATGCCAGTGACCAGGAAAAGAGCACATTTAAAGGAGCTCCAGTGACAGTGATATTTGTGATGTGATGGAAATGCTGGACTGAGGATGTATCGGAGTAACACCACGTTCATGCAATAAAAATCTGCCTTGAGTACATGAGGAAACCATTGGAAATGCAGCAGTATACTTCACTGGTCCTACATCCAAATTTTCCAAGTGCCTCGACTAACTGAACTGCTGTCCTTATGTCTCTAGACAAATTATTTATAGTCAATACATTCACAGCATTGGTAAGATACAAAACATTTCTAAATATATCTGATTAAATCAAATGACAATTTTGCCCTTAGTTCAGTTTGCCAGACAATGCCTTGCCAAAGAATGTTTGCCAAAAAATGTTCTGACCGAAGAAAGGGGAAGAATCCAGAGCATCTGCCAAACAGACTCTATAAAAGTGTCTTTGCTGTGCTCTGCCCCGTCTACTAGAAAAGTTTCAAGGTAAGTGCAGTGGATCTAGCTATTAGGTATCCCTATTATTGCATATTATGCATATATTTTTTTTCCTTTGAAACTGGTTTCCAGCTAAGTTTTTCCATCTTCTTTTAAGGCTATATTATCTATTCTATTTTTTTGGTTTTCTTAATTTTATGGTAGAATAAAAATGTTTCTTTAGCATACTTCATATTCTCAAATATGACACTACAATCCAAAAAGCCAAAGTAAAATCTGTACAGTACCATAAGATACAAATAAAAGAAATTTTTACAAGGTTATTATATATTATTTAAGGATGAAACAATATCTTTCTCTCATGGGTTTAAATCGTTAACACAAAGAAGGCAACTTTGGTAGTTTTAACAATTCTACTAAGTGTTCAATTTTAAATTTTCTAATTAGAAAAGCTGTTCTTGCAAGTAAGCTACATTAATGATCTATTCATGTTAAATTTCTTTTCTCCCACAGGGTTCTTTGCTGATGTGCCTTAAGTAAAGTGCAGACATGGCCTCTGCAGATGCTGAGTTAGCTTGTTTTGGGGAGGCAGCTCCTTACCTCCGAAAATCGGAAAAGGAGAGAATTGAGGCCCAGAACAAACCTTTTGATGCCAAGACATCTGTCTTCGTGGTTCATCCCAAAGAATCCTTTGTGAAAGGCAAAATTGAAAGCAGGGAATCAGGGAAAGTCACTGTCAAGACTGAAGGGGGAGAGGTGAGTCAAAAACAAGGCTGAAGGACAACATTTGCTTCCCTCACTGAGTTCTTAGCTGATATATGAGGATCTTTTGTTTCCTTGGCAGACCCTGACTGTGAAGGAAGATCAAATCTTCTCCATGAACCCTCCCAAGTATGACAAAATCGAGGACATGGCCATGATGACCCACCTCCACGAACCCGCCGTGCTGTACAACCTCAAAGAGCGTTACGCAGCCTGGATGATCTACGTAAGTGGCAGCAGCAGCTTCCTTTGGGCAGCCTCAGCAACTGCTGGGCCAGGCTCAGGGGAAGCCAACGTGCTGTGTCCCTTCCTCACAGACCTACTCGGGTCTCTTCTGCGTCACTGTCAACCCCTACAAGTGGCTGCCGGTGTACAACCCCGAGGTAGTGTTGGCCTACCGAGGCAAGAAGCGCCAGGAGGCCCCTCCACACATCTTCTCCATCTCTGACAACGCCTATCAGTTCATGCTGACTGGTGAGTTACTTGGTTTTCTTTAAATCACTTATCTGTAAACACTCTCAAAGGAGAAAACGTCTTTTCAAGGCAAAGTAGTTCAACTTAATGGTGTTGTGAGGGTGCATGGTCTCTTGTCATTGGAAATAATGAAGACTTCCCTTTGGTTGGAGAGGATCATGTTAGAGATCATTTAGTCTAACCTGATATCCACAAGTTCATCCTAATGTGATGCACCTGCAAGTGCTGAGGGAAATGGAGGACATCATATCTTGGCCTCTCTCATTCACCTTGGAATGAGCATGGAAGTCAGGAGATGTGTGTGAGGACTAGAAGAAAGCAAATATCATGTCTTCAAAAAGGGCAAAAAAGAAGATCCAAGGAACTACAGGCCTCACATGAGCATTGGAATGGCTAATCCTAGGCTATCTCTAAGAATGCAAAACACAAGAGGTTGATTAAGAGTAGTCAGCATGGATTAACAAAAGGGAAATTATGCTTAACCAACCTGATTTCTTTCTACAATGGGGCAATTGCATGGAGACATGAGAGGAGAGCACTGGATCTTGTCTACCTGGATTTCAGCAAGGATTTTGATGCTGTTTCTCATGATATCCTCATAGGCAAACTTAGAGAGTGAGGGCTGGACAAGTGTATGGTGAGCTGGATTGAATACTGTCTGAATGGCACAGACTCAAAGGGCTTTAAAAGGGCTTGTTCTGGGTCTTCAACTGTTCACATTTTTTAAAATAATCTGAAAGTGATTAAAATATTTCTGATTTGACAAAGTTCTTAAGGTCAGCAAAAATTAAGTATAATAATAAAGAATTTCAGGGGGACTTAAGTTCTTATTCAGTGAAGTTTCAAGAATTTTTTGCAAACAGGAGTGTAAAACAAATGCCACTGGGGGAAAAAACCCTCATTGCCAAAAACTTTTATAAGTATCTTCTAATACTGTTTCAAAATTTTGTCTAAAGGATTATAAATCTGGAAAATAAAAAGCTGAAACCTGGATATCACTGAGCAAGAAAAGAGACCAAAACAGAAAGCATTACTATATGCAAGGGGTATCTGCACCTGGTCTGCCATATGCATTTTCAGGCTTCCTTTTTCACTAAAGAATATAGTAAAGTGGAACAGGTCAAGAGGAAGATAAAAAGGTTTCCCAAAGGCAGGACAGGCTGTGTTGGTAACTCTAGAAAGAAGGTTTTTATTACTTTATAAAATTATGCATGGCAAAGAGAAGATGAATAGAAAAGACAGACTATATAATGAAACAAGCTCAACACCAGGATCATATTTTTTCCTTCATCATTATGTGGTTAAAAAAAGGAGCATAACAATTGAACACAAAAAGTAGTAGCATGGGTTAAGAAAGAAAACAGACAAAATTGTGGGAAACAAACTCAGCTCAAGCTATTGAAAAGAGATACATTCATTCTAGCTCTGGAAGTACCAAAATTTCAATATTATAGAGTAGACTATGCTGATAAAGGCTACTACATGTTTGTGATATTTCTGTAATTTTATTTAATGAACAATCAAATGGACACCAACATAAGAACCATTTAGAGGGTGTTGTGGCCTGATCAGGAGTGGTTGTTCCTATGAAATGAAGTTTATGTGAAGCACATGCTCCAGTACAATTCAGCGTACTGACAGATCATTTAATCAGTAACTCTACAAAACTGATCCTTACTTGGAATCATTTTCATAAACAAAATGAACAGTGTGACATGAAGGAGCTATCCAGAAAAAGAAGTGCATGTATGCAACAAAAGAAACAATTGGGGGGGGGGGTTGAGATACCAGCTTCCCACCTGCAGCTGATATTCAAAATGAATGAAGGCATGAGGGTTTATGAAAGAAATTAGCTGCCTATTGCCAGTGCATTTATAATAATCTCTTCTTTTCTGCCTCGTTCACAGATCGGGAGAACCAGTCCATCCTGATCACGTACGTACACCCCCTGTGTGGGTCCCTGCGGGGCTGCCCGGTGCCAGGGGACCTCCTGCCTGACCACGCACCCTCTGCTTCTCTCTTGGCTTGGGCAGCGGAGAATCCGGTGCTGGGAAGACTGTGAACACAAAGCGTGTCATCCAGTACTTTGCAACAATTGCAGCCAGTGGGGAGAAGAAGAAGGAGGACAAGTCATCAGGCAAAATGCAGGTGAGTGAGGATGAACAGACTGAATGGTCTGTCATTGCCCTGTCAGCTAAAGACAGTGACTGAATTCTTATGTCTCTGCAGGGGACGCTTGAGGATCAAATCATCAGCGCCAACCCACTGCTGGAGGCCTTTGGAAACGCCAAGACCGTGAGGAACGACAACTCCTCACGCTTTGTGAGTTCTTGCCTTGCATAACATCTCTCCCCCTGATGGCAACACACGATGCCTGAGCAGTTCTTCATGCAAAGGAGATGCCAGCAGAACACATCCAGCCTGATCTGCTGCTGCTTTTGCTTAACAGGGCAAATTCATCAGAATCCACTTTGGGGCCACAGGCAAACTGGCTTCTGCTGACATTGAAACTTGTAAGACATTCTCCTGGACTGCTCCCATCCCTTCCCCAATTCCCATCTCCATGTCCATTCCCACAAGTGCCTAACTCTTTCTACCTCCCTGGGCAGATCTGCTGGAGAAGTCCAGAGTCACTTTCCAGCTCAAGGCGGAAAGGAGCTACCACATCTTTTATCAGATCATGTCCAACAAGAAGCCAGAGCTAATTGGTAGGAAGCAGCATTATGGCTTTTTGGGGCTGATCACTGAGGAGCTGTTCCCTCTCTCATCTGATTGGCAAAAGTAAGCCTATGCCTTGCCTCTTCCTGCTTTCAGAAATGCTCCTCATTACCACCAACCCTTACGATTTCCACTATGTGAGTCAAGGGGAGGTCACTGTCCCCAGCATTGATGACCAGGAGGAGCTGATGGCTACAGATGTGAGTAACACAGCAACGGGGTATCTCCTGGGCATGTCTCAAGGGTGACATCTCTGATCTGCTAAGGACATATTTTGAATTCATTATTTTGACTGCAGAGTGCCATTGACATCCTGGGCTTCACTGCAGATGAGAAAACAGCCATCTACAAGCTGACAGGGGCTGTCATGCACTACGGGAACCTGAAGTTCAAGCAGAAACAACGAGAGGAGCAGGCAGAGCCTGATGGCACTGAAGGTACCAGCAGATTCAGGGGCTGGTTTGTGCCAAGCCCTTCTCTGCCTCCAGAAGCCATATGTTAGCCTCCAGAGGCACACTGCAGTTGCCTGCGTTTCCACTTAAAACATTGAGAATCCAAATTTGCCCACAATCCCCCTAACTGCAGAGGTGCTTTCCTAGTCATAGGAAGTTCCATTATTCTATCCAATGGTGCCTCCCCAAAAACATGCTGCCTGAAGGCAGGAACTTCAATTTCAACACAGGATATCTCTCTTGAAATATGTCTCTTGAAAACCTCCAAGCACTAGGACACCCTGATGGGCAATTGTGATTTTGGTGAAATAACGCCTGCAAGCTGTGCTTCCCAGAAATCTGCTTCCCACAGAAAGAGAATGTGCCTTGCCTTATGTCTTGCTAGAGGCTGTTGTTGTTCTTCTGGGAAATTCCAGGTTTAAGCTCTTCCTATCTAAGCCATACTTGTTCTTTCTTTCAAAGAAGACCATCAGTAGTGGCCAGAATTTGCATTCCTTCACAGGCCTTCTGTGTGAGATGAGAGAAATGTTCTTCCATTCCTAGAACATGAAGAGCAGAGTTGTTCACATCACCTGGATTCTAGAGATTGTCCATAAATGAATGCTTTTCTCTCTCTTTCCACACCTCTAGTGGCTGACAAGGCTGCCTACCTAACGGGCCTAAACTCAGCTGAATTTCTCAAGGCCTTGTGTTACCCCCGAGTCAAGGTTGGGAATGAATATGTGACCAAAGGTCAAAACGTGACACAGGTAACAACTGACACTTGTAAATACACAGCTGGAAGGACTACATGGGCATTTCTCTTTGTCCCTCAGAGGTAACTGCAGTCCTGTCTCCTCCGCTCTAGGTGAACAATTCAGTGGGTGCCCTGGCAAAGGCAATGTTTGAGAAGATGTTCCTGTGGATGGTTGTTCGCATCAACCAACAGCTGGACACAAAGCAGCCCAGGCAGTACTTCATTGGTGTCCTGGACATTGCTGGCTTTGAGATCTTTGACGTAAGGAGCAAGGATTTGACAGCACAATTAAGTGATGGGCAAGGAGGGGTCATGAGGACTCAGACGCACATAGAGGACTAAGGCTCACACAGCTACGGGCCAAAGGGGTGGATGCTCTTGTAAAGACAGTGGTCTGGGCAAGTTCACACAGCGTTTCCTGTGCTGTGAATGCAGTGATGATGCAAGGACTTGTGTGTCAGAACACAGAAACGTTCAGATTCTTGATCTGAGGCCTGAGAAATTCTTGGGTGGGACACTGAGGAAGTTTCTACTGTCCAGGAGATCAGAGAGCTGACACCATGGAGCTCTTGGGCTTACCAAAGATTTGCAGTTGAGTAGCACAGTGAAAAAGAATTGTAACTTTTGGCTTGACTTGTAAAGTAATAATTAAAATGTCCTTCAAGGAGAGTGAAGGTTAGATTAGAAGGCCTGCTAAGGAAACACATGCTGGTACAGTAGGGTTGGGACGGGTGTCTCAACTTCAAACAGCCTTTGGGGAGTGGCAGGAAATACCTGTGGGTTTTGGCACGCCTTGAGAACCTGTGCACCTTTCCTTGCTTTGGGCAGTTCAACAGCTTTGAGCAGCTGTGCATCAACTTCACCAATGAGAAACTGCAACAGTTCTTCAACCACCACATGTTCGTGCTGGAGCAGGAGGAGTACAAGAAGGAGGGGATTGAATGGGAGTTCATTGACTTTGGCATGGACCTGGCTGCCTGCATTGAGCTCATTGAGAAGGTACCTTTCCCATGCAAGTATAAAATGGCTGTTGGGATTCTGTGAATATTCTGAGGCACAGTCAGCTCAGAAAGAATCCACAGCCAGACATGTAGCATCAGTTAAGGAAAATATTTTGCACTGAATTTTAGTTTAGCCTGGGGAGGAGAAATGGAGAAATGCACATGTGTGTGATCAGTCTGAATCATCGGGTCTTCAAACATGGCAAAGTAGCCTGGACTTCCACCAACAGACTTCTAAAACCAAACCTGATTCAGTCTCCTTTTCTTCCTTCTCCAAAGGCTCAAATCCAAAGTCTACAGAAAAATCTGAGAAATAAATCTCCTATCACCTGATCTCCACAAATTATGGAGCCCCTTGTTCTCCCCATTATTTTTCTCTTTACCATTGCTCTCCCAGTTCTTCACTAATTCTCATGTGAACTGGACAGTCCTTCCTACCAGTTCCATGAAGACAGGCTGCAGGGAGGCAAGGGACAGCAGAAATAAACCCCTTGATTGAGAACAACTCCTGGTGAACCTAGGCTTTCATCCAGGCTGAGGTGCTGCCAACAGCACAACCAACCTTTGATGTTCATAGCATAGGCTTCTTGTCAGTGTCATAGAATGACAGAAGGGTTTGGGTGGGATGGGACCATAAAGAACATTTTGTTCCAATCCCTGACCATGGTGGGAGGACTTCTTCCTCTAGACCAGGCAGGTGAACGCCCCATCCATAGTAATATTGAACATTTCCATTCAAATCTTTCCTTGTTACTTGTGATTTCTCCCAGCCCATGGGCATCTTCTCCATCCTGGAAGAGGAGTGCATGTTCCCCAAGGCAACTGACACCTCTTTCAAGAACAAGCTCTATGACCAGCACCTGGGCAAATCCAACAACTTCCAGAAGCCCAAGCCTGCCAAAGGCAAGGCTGAAGCCCACTTCTCCCTGGTGCACTACGCTGGCACAGTGGACTACAACATCACTGGCTGGCTGGAGAAGAACAAGGACCCTCTGAATGAAACTGTCATTGGGCTGTACCAGAAATCATCTGTGAAGACCCTGGCTTTACTCTTTGCCAACTATGGTGGAGCTGATGCAGGTCAGTTTTATGAAAATTGTATTTTTAATGTGGGACAAACTTTCCTCAGAATTAAAGCAGCAAAGACTAGAAATATAAAGTGGCTTTGCATTCTGTAATAACCAATATATATTGTCCGTATTATTAAACTTTTTTTTTATTTTTTTTTTATTTTCAGATGCTGGTGGTGGTGGTGGCAAGAAGGGAGGCAAGAAGAAGGGTTCTTCTTTCCAGACTGTCTCAGCTCTTTTCAGGGTAAGAACAGAATTTATGTCGTCATTTAAATGCCCACTGAAATAACATAGCAGGTCAGTGAAGTTGCATTCGGACAGCCCTGTAATTCACTAAGACACTGCTTCATTTTTGTACACCAAGATAATCACGCATTTCCTGTAATTCAAGATGCAGAAGGGCTAAGTTTTTTATATGCACATCATAGATAAGCATGGGGTTCTTACTATATTAAACCTGAACTTTTCCTTGTAATCTCACAGGAGAATTTGAACAAGCTGATGGCCAACTTGAGAAGCACTCACCCCCATTTTGTACGGTGCATCATCCCAAATGAAACTAAAACACCTGGTAAGGCAAGCCAAGAGGAGGAAAGCTGGAGCAGCAGAAGCTCTTCTCCTGAGTGTCAAACAGCAGGGTAGTCACTAACGGTGATCTTTGTCAGGTGCCATGGAGCACGAGCTGGTGCTGCACCAGCTGCGCTGTAACGGCGTGCTGGAAGGGATCAGGATTTGCAGGAAAGGGTTCCCCAGCAGAGTCCTCTATGCTGACTTCAAACAGAGGTGAGAGCTCTGCATCTCTCTGACCATTCAGACCAAGCTGAAGAGCCTGATCATCTTAACGATCTTTACATTTTACATTGTCATGTTTTGCTCCGAATTGATGAATTATTTTATGCTGATTGTGAGGATTCACTTGGTCTCTGTTTAATGGCATGAAAAGTTCTCACACTCTCTTGCAGTGTCTTTGAAGGCTTGTACTATCTTGAAAGAATGCAGTCTCTAATACATGATATTATTCAGCTCTTGCTGAGTAGGCTGTGAAGTTCAATCACTGTGATGGTTTCATAACTGTTCATTTCTTCATGTTTTGCTTTCTCCTCCAGATACAGAGTACTTAATGCCAGTGCTATCCCAGAGGGACAGTTCATGGACAACAAGAAGGCTTCAGAGAAGCTCCTTGGGTCCATTGATGTTGACCATACCCAGTACAGATTTGGTCACACCAAGGTAGAATGAAGTTCTTTATTTAAATACAGTGTGCCCCAGTAATGCACTACGCAGCACTGATGTACTACAATCTTGCCTTCTTCAAGGTGTTCTTCAAAGCTGGACTGATAGGTGTCCTGGAGGAGATGAGAGATGAGAAACTGGCACAGATCATGACCATGATACAAGCCAGGTGCAGAGGCTTCCTGTCTAGAGTGGAGTACCAGAGAATGGTGGAAAGGAGGTAGATACTTCTCACTCATTTGTTGTGTTCTAAGGGTAGTTGGCTAATTGAGTCAAAATTCACCAAACACAGGATATTTAATAACCATGTGGACTTGTTTTCAGAGAGTCCATCTTCTGCATACAGTACAACGTTCGTTCATTCATGAATGTCAAACACTGGCCATGGATGAAGCTGTTCTTCAAGATCAAGCCCTTGCTGAAGAGTGCAGAGTCTGAGAAGGAAATGGCCAACATGAAACAAGAGTTTGAGAAAACCAAGGAAGAGCTTGCAAAGTCTGAGGCAAAGCGGAAGGAGTTGGAGGAGAAGATGGTGGCCTTGGTACAGGAGAAAAATGACCTGCAGCTCCAAGTACAGGCAGTGAGTACCACTGTTCATTTTTCCCTGGAAAAAGAATGATACCAGCCAATGTGTATTGAACAGCTGAGAACTTGAAGCTGGAAGGGAAATATCTCAACTTTCAAAGCAGTGCTTTTGTCTAACACAGTAAAGACAAACGAGGGAAGGACACACTTTTCCTCCAAATTCAATAAGGAAAATGCAGTTTCACCAAAGGAAACAAATATTTTTCCAGTGATGTATTCTCATAAATCTTCAATTGCTCAAATACTAGGAAGTTAGTCAATTAAACAGAAGAAGGTATTGCACATTTTTCCATGAGAAATATACTCCAACCCTTTGTTCCTGCTGAAACTAGAAATTGAAATAACCCCTGTTCCATTCAGCTTCTGGTTGCATGAGGCATTCTCATAGCTAGTCACCCTGGGAGACATATTTAGGGGACACAAAAACATTGGAATTAATATTGATTCCAAATGGCAAGATTTCCCGGTAGACAACACCCAAAATGCATTTATTGCTGAAACTGAAGATGAGGTTCAGCTGCTACCCAGTGATAAACAAGAAAGAAAGCAGAGATAGTTCAAAACATTAGAACCCACAAAACTCTGTCTTCCCCACCAGGAAGCAGACAGCTTGGCTGATGCTGAGGAACGGTGTGACCAGCTCATCAAAACCAAAATACAGCTGGAAGCCAAAATTAAGGAGGCAACTGAAAGGGCTGAAGAAGAAGAGGAAATTAATGCTGAGCTGACAGCCAAGAAGAGGAAATTGGAGGATGAATGTTCAGAGCTGAAGAAAGATATTGATGACCTTGAGCTAACACTGGCCAAGGTGGAGAAGGAAAAACACGCCACAGAAAACAAGGTAAAGCACAGGGGGTCACACAGCTGGTCAAAAAGGCAGTGTTTCTAGGAGCAAAAGAACAACCTAAGGACATGGTGCCTTTTAAACATGAAATGGGTCTTACATAAGAAATGTGAGGCAAAGCACTACTTCTGGCTAAGAAAAGCAGAGGAAAAATGTCACAAAATCATCTGGTCTGCTTTCCACAGAACCTAGAAAATTGCTCTTATTTCTAGGTGAAAAACCTGACTGAGGAGATGGCAG